TGATGGTGATGATGGTGGTGGTGGTGGTGGAGATGGTGATGGTGATGATGGTAATGAGGATGGTGGTGATGGTGGTGATAGTGGTGGTGAATGTGGTGCTAGTGATAAAGGTGTAGTGTATACAGACCATCTGAGGAATCAGAACTTGGGACTAGAACCAAGGCCTGTTCTCCAAACGACCTACCATCCCTGGATGAGCAGACCCCCCACCTCTCCCTCTGTGCTCCTGTCTGTCACTGTCACTGTCCAAGGCGGAGCCAGAGCTGAGCACCCGCTCCGTGTTCAGGGACAGTGCCGAGTGGGAGGCCGCCCCTGCCCAGTCCTGGTAGCTTGTCCACCCGAGGGCCTGTGCTCCGGGCCCTTCCCCACGGGCCCCACTGCTCCCCTCCCTTCCCGCTCCGCCTCTGCCCCCGGCCCAGGCTATTGGGCATAAACGGAAGCCAACCCAGGCTTTTCCGCTCTGGCCCTGGACCTCAGGGCTTCAGGTCTTCCGCACGGAACTTCCGACGGCCGCACTGACAGCTCGCGGCGCTGCAGAACGCTGGGTTCTGGGATCAGCCAGGACCAGACTCAGAACCCGCGGGGCCCTGACCACTCCTTCAGCATTCGGTTCGACCGAGCGGCTGTGTACTGGAGGCTGCTCTCCCACCAGGCCCTGCTGAGCCCGGCGTCGGGGCCGGGTGCACACGGTCTAACGGGGCAGCCTGGCCAGCACAACGAGCACAGCGTCTTCACGAGCCACGAGCTCAACACCAAGAACGGGCGAGCCGAGGGCGCGTGTCGGAGACACCACGACGGTCACCCAGAGCACGAGGCTCCACGCAGCACCCGTCCACGCCAGCCCAGACACGCCCCGCTCGGCCGCGCATCTGCAGGGGGGACTGCAGCTCAAATCAGGTGCGAAGTGTCACAAAGACACGGGTTTCACGGTGGTGAGAGGGACGTGGGCGCACACGCGTCCTCCCAGCCATTGGCAGAGGCTCAGAAAGGCACCTGTGAAGATGAGGAGGGCGGGCCTGCTCCTGCCCAGTGCATGCCTGCGGGGACCAGCCGCCGAGGGAAGGAGGTCGTAGGGCGCCTCAGGGAACACCTCCCCTGTTAGCCGCCCGGCGGGACCCATTTGTTGGGCGCTCATGGAGGCTGGGGTGCACCGACACCACTCCGCCCATTTCACGGAGGAAGACTGAGGCTCAGAGAGGAGGGGCTTGTCCAAGGCCGAAGCAGGGAGAGAAGGAGCTGGGACCCCAGTGTCCGCGCCCAGCTCCTCCCTCCACACCCCCCGTCCCCCCACCGTTCCCCCAGGCCAGCGGCCAGGGCTCCCCCACAGCTCTCAGTTAACCACCAGAGACGCAGACGAGATCCTGGCCTAGGTTTAATACTCATGCCCTGGCCCAGGTGCTGACCCCTGGGTCCAGCCAGGCCACGCCAGCAGCCAGAACTGGAACCTCCTCAGAGGGGTCGACAGTGGGGGTGGGAGGAGAGCATGGCCACGGCCCCCCACCCGGACCTGCCCACGATTCTCAGGGCCTTGACCTTGGTGACTTGGTGGCTGCTCAGCTGGAAGAGCTGGTCCTTCGGGAACACCACCGCCCGGGGCGCGGGGGGTGCGGCCTTCTGGTCTCCGCTGCTCCAGAGCAG